CCCGCTGGTCCTCCAGGTTTCCAGGTGAGTCAACAAAAACATATGAAATCCAGCCTTTGGCCAGATTGTCCACCCCCACCTCATTGTATCCTTCTCCCCTACCACATGAAACACAGCTTTGCAGCTGAAGCAGAGGGTACATTTTTTTTTCAAAGCAATGCTTTAATAACTTTTAATAGCGCTCATGTTGATTTTGTGTCATTCCCCCTTAGCCAATTATTAGCAAATTCCCTATATGTTACTATAAGATTGAGATTTGTATTTTTCTTCATTTAGGGTCTGCCTGGCCCTTCAGGTCCAACTGGTGAAGTTGGAAAACCAGGAGAAAGGGTGAGTAAAATCAGTGATAATAAATCCACCCAAACTTATGAATTTCCTTCTGCTTAATGCCCTCCAACAGCACAATCACAATATGTAAAAGGAAATTTCCTATTTCATGTGTTAATGATAGTGTTCTCCTTATGTTGATACTGAGAGTGAATGAACAAAGTCACTTATTTTAGTTGAAATTACTTTGTTTTATGAATTGAGTGGAACATCACATTATAAAAGTAGAATCTATCAGTGAATATTTCATGTACTAGCCTTACTTTTTGTTTTGTTCTTGGTCATGTTAAAATACAAATTATTTCCTCCTCCATAGTGAAAATGCAAAAGCACTGATTTCCCATTAAACTAGACCCTGAAAAATTGCTTTTAATGTTTTTCTTGGCATTCAGACATGACACTGCTATCCACAATCAGAGCATGAGTTCTGAGTCATTTTCTCTGTAATTGTGATGAATGTGCCTCAATTTAGTTACATTCTATGGCCTCATCTCCTTTGTCAACAGCAGGGCACATTAAGGAGACAGCTGGTCAGTAATAAAAGAGATACACTTGGGTGTACAATTAACTAAGTAATGTACAGAATATGATAATTTCTATTAAGAAGGCAGTCTGCTATATAGCTAAAAATAGGCGATGTCTCATAATGTTCATTATTATTTATCATATTATCAAAGAAGATAGTCTGCTTTGTCACTTTTTTAAAAGCCATAAACCAAATGGGAAACTTACGTTTTATGATACCAAGTTCTAAGATAGATCTATCTTTGGTATCAGTTAAATTCTCTCTGTGTGTGTATTTTTCCCACAGACTGAAAGTTCTGTTACACTTCTCAGTTGGTATACTTAGGCTTCTTTGAGGGGGAGCACAGGCAGCTTTATGTCACTCTTTCAGAACCTCCCGAATATCATATTCTTAAATTTAGAGATTACATATACATTTCACACTTAATTTATTCTTGTGTTTTACCTAGGGTCTCCCTGGTGAATTTGGTCTCCCTGGTCCTGCTGGTCCAAGAGTAAGTGTTATTTAATTAACCTTCATAAAATCTTGGCAATGTGCTTTTTAAAAAAGGAGTGCTTTCTCCTAAAGCCACAAATGGCCTTCCTTGCACCAAGTTGCGGACACTTTTCTGTAGTCAAGTGTGATCTGCAGAGACCACAAAGATATCTAAGTTGATAATGGACTTTGTTTAATTGCTCATGTTTCCTACTCAGTAAGCACATGATTATATGAAACATAAGTGAGCTAGTATCGGTTATAGTTAACAATTTATATAAGCATAATAATTTATGACCGTGGCTCAATTTGAGCCAAGGAAAAAGGGTACCTTACTGTGATTAGTAATGCAATCTTAGTTTACTTTGATGTTTAAAGTCTAAAGCTGAACTCAAGAGTCTAATTTTATGGGGCTGGGGATTTAGCTCAGTGGTTTCACCGCCTGCTGCTCAAGCACAAGAACCCAAGTTCGATCCCTGGTACCAAAAAAAAAGGTCTAATTTTATAAAGACAAATAAAGAGAGGAGGGGAGGGGAAATTAGGAGAGGAAGGGGATGAAAAAAGAATTAAAATGTGTCATGTCCATGTACCAACTCCCCACAAGAAATGTAATCGTTATGTACTATAAACATATTCTAGTAAAAAGTAAAAGTTTTAAAAAGAAAAAAAATCATTGAACAAATCACAGAAAAAGAAAATAAACATTTAGTTTGTGGATATTAGCATAACTGGAATGTTGGTTTGCCACTAAAGTATTCCGTTATGTTGCTCATTACCATATACGTTGGAAGCCCAAAGTTAGTGTCAAAAAACCACAACACCATAGAATCAAGTTATTTTAACGTCTTTTGATATAGCTGTAATGTGGACCTGTGTGATAAATATTCTTAAATGCAAGCTGGGAGATATTTAGATAGATGATAAACAAGTTACAGATACTCATATATACATATTGTATATATGTTAAATATTATAACTGTTACATCATTATTGTATGAGTTTATGAAAGGAGACAGTTATAAAAATATAATCTTATTTGTACTTGACATTGCTATTTAACTAAAATGCTACCATCTTTCCCTTTAATTATTACAAATAACCTGCATGGTTTTTTTTAACCTTAAACCTATCCCAGAAAAGACCACAAATAAATAATTAATAAACAAGAAAATGAATGCTAAAGGTTGAATGTCATAGTCTATAAGCAACAAATTTTGGAACTGTAGTCCCAGAACATTAGAACAAAATTCGACTTTAGAGTTTATCTCATGCCATCCCTTCACTTTGTGGTGGAGAAATTAGGAACAAACAAAAAAATTTAATTTCCTGAAAAGTTGCCAAACCAGGACTAAAAATCTAGATGTATGGTGTGTAAAATCAGAAAATGACTTCATCTAACTGCTGTTTTTCAGGGGGAACGTGGTCCTCCAGGGGAAAGTGGTGCTGTGGGTCCCTCTGGTCCAATTGGGAGCCGAGGTCCTTCTGGACCCCCAGGACCTGATGGAAACAAGGTAAGACTGTTTTATAGATGGCAGCAAATCCTAGAATAAACAGATCCTTTACAATAGAATAACTTTTTCAGATTTTCATTCATTTTCAGTTCTGTGACAATTTCCATCTCAGTAAACAGCAATTTTATTCTAGTGGATCTGAATTATTCCAAAAGAAAACTGGAAGTATAGGAATCTCAGTGTTCTACAAACCGTAATGAATTAGTATAGTTTTCAACATTTTCCATCACATCATTTATGCTTTTTTGGAATTGAGGACCATCCTATACATTCAGACATTATTTTTGTTTCGAGAAAAAACTTTTACCCTCTTAACATCCCCCCACCCATAGGGTAAAATTTCTTAAAATAAATTTTAATAATAGACATTCTACAAAATAACAGTAGTTCAAAAGTGATAACATGAAAAACAAGGAAATTCTATGAAACTGTCAGTCATGAAGTGTCTCAATTAATAATGTACAGCGAGCTTCACATAAATGACTACAATGAAAGGAATGGCTTTTAAAAACATATTTTAAGATAAAATTTCTTAAAATAAATTTTTGTAA